AACAAATGTATAGATGTGCTTTACACAATTGATCTATGTATTGTGATGAATTGTATGAGCACCAATAAATTGATTAAAAAAAAAAAAAGAACAAGGAAGGATTTGGTTCTAGACCAGCAGTTCTCAACCTGTGGGTTGTGACCCTTTTGGGGGTCAAATGGCCCTTTCACAGGGTCACCTGATTCATAACAGTAGCCAAATGACAGTGATGGGGGTCACCACCACACTGCTCTGGACCTTACGCAGATGTTTCAGTCATATCAAGAGCTTTTGTTTTTGAATACTCTTTCTTGGTTGTTTCCATTTTTTGCCTATTTTGAATGACACTGCTGTAAACATCCGTATCCAGATTTTAATGTGAATTTAAATTTCCTTTTGGGGAAATAAATGCCCAGCAGTGTAGCAACTGGTTGTGTGGTAATTACATAGTTAAGGATGGTGGGTACATCGTTCGATTTTAAAGAAACTGCCAGGTGTTTCCCAGAAGGGCTGCACCCGTTTGCAGTCTTTTCAGGAATGTATGTGTGATCTGGTTTCTCCACATCCTCTGACATCTGATGTAAGAACTTTTTAATTTTGACCAGTGAGCTGTCATGGGATTGTTCAATAAAGTAACAAGAATCAAGTAAATAAACCAAATCAGTAAATAAATATCAAGTAAATAAATTGTTAAAGTAACAAGGTGATAGATTATCCTGCTTCTCATTTATAATATAAATTAATTTATAAAATGATAGAAATTTTGGGGAATTTATGGGGATTTATAGATTAATTACTTAATGTATGAAATAAATCCATAGTGCTAAGTAATTTTTTTAATGTCAAGTGAAAAGAGCCAGATAAAAAGTTATATATTTGCGGTAGGGCATGATCAAGGGTAATGTAACAAAGAGGAATTGCTGAAACCCTGGTGGGGACTGAGCATGATAGTGGGACAGGGGGAAAGTCAAAGGAATTAGAGGAAAGAGCTAGGAGGCAAAGGGCATTTATAGAGGTCTAGATAAAGACATGTACATATGCAAATATATTTATATATGAGGATGGGGAAATAGGGTTAGTATTAAGGTAGCAGAAGGACAGTGATGGAATTAAAGGTGCTTTTCTTTGTGTGTATTTGCCAAATGCATATTTTTCATTACTTTTTGGTAATCAAAACACATTTTACTTAGGTGTGTCTGTGTGCAACTCTAAGGAACGTGTGGATTTAACTATCAGGCTGTTTGCATGTTAATTTAAATCCCTTCACAGCAGGAAGTAAAAAACCTTCAGTGGATGGTTGCTAAAGAAAATGGCTTTAACCTTCTTCTGCCTGCATTTTTTTCTCGTGTCTGTCTACTTCAGCATTGTTTTTATGTTCTTCCTTGTCTAGATTGACCAGCCTAGAAAGTGAGTAACCTTTTTCTTTTCATTATCATTCCCAGCTGCTTTCTATTCATCTGCACCCATGAGAGTGCCCCTTACAGAATATGGACAACCAGCTGTGAGCCATAGAGCCCAGTCTGTGAGAAATGAACCCCCGCTTCAGGAATATGGACCACCATCTGTGGAGCATGGAGTCCCACCTTCCGGATATGAAGCCCCGCCTCTCAGATATGAAGCTCCACTTCCTGAATATGAAGCCCCGCCTCTCAGATATGGAGCTCCGCCTCCCAGATATGAAGTCCCACCTCCAGGATATGGAGCTCCGCCTCCCAGATATGAAGCCCTGCCTCCAGGATATGGAGTTCCACCTGCAGACTACAGAGCACAACTTCAAGGATATAGGGCAACTTAGCCTCCTGGGCACGAGCTCATCCCTCGTCCTCTTCTCAGGCGCATTCTCAACCTTCAAGGAATCCCTGAAGCTTCCCCAACTAAAGCAGTACCTAACAGTGAAGTTGTAATAAGACAGAGGACTCAGGTATGTGATCAAGGCCCGTCCAGGGTCCTCATCCCAGCCCTGGAGAGGGCAGTCCCCCATGACTGAGGTTTACAAGTAGAGTCCACTCTTGATTAGCTAGGGTAAAGGAGGAGTAGAATTGTAGGGATCATAATATCAGTTGATGTTGGGCTGCAGTTTTGAACATACTTTGAATGTGGAAAAGCTTCCTTTGCCTCCCTCCTCCATGCAATAACCATGTTTATTATGTTTAACGTACCAGGCACCAAGATATGTGCAGACAGTCCCTGTGTTGTGAATGTCCAACTTATCACCAAGACAATTCCTACTTGCCCTTTAATGTTATGTAAATTTTCCCTCCCTTTAAGATGACTGAACCAATCCCTTGTTGTTGTTGTTGTTGTTGTTCGGTGCCATGCAGCCAGTCCTAACTGATGGCAACCCTATGTACAACAAGACAAAGCACTGCTCGGTCTACGCCTTCCTCATAATTGTTGTTATATTTGAGACCATTCTTGCAGCCACGGTGTCAATCCAACTCCTTAAGGGTCTTCCTCTTCTTGATTTTGGCTAGCTCTCTACTTTACCAGACATGATGCCCTTTTCCAGCTGCTGGTCTCTCCTGATAACTTGTCCAAAGTGTGTGAGGTGAAGCCTCTACTGCGACAGATTTGTTTCTTCTTCTGACAGACCAGGAGACTTGGGATATTCTTTGCCAACACCATGGCTTCAATGTGTCGCTTCTGTTGTGGTCTTCCTTATTGGCTGTCCAACTTTCACAGGCCTGTGAAGCCACTGAAAAGACCGTGGTAGCATATAAAGCTACCCGTCCTTGCCCTCAGGTCAATTCTGACTCGTCTACCTTCCAGGCCGGAGTCGAACTGCTCCTGCGAGTTTCTGAGGAAGCTCCTTGTACATTCATCCAACAGAATGTGACCAGCCATTGAAGCAAAGTTCAAGAAAGCCCTTTAAGTAGATCAAAAACCACAGAGCCATAAAGGGAAAGCAGTAATAAATCTAAAACATTTGTGTGACAAACCCAAAGAAAAAATAAGGATGTGAATTGCCAATCATGGAGGCAATAGGGTAGCCAAGAAATGCTTGAAAAGACGTTCAGCTTGATTAGTGTTAGAGGAGAAACCACTCTCAAGTCGCAGATTCACTAAATAGTAAGAAGATCGACGCCCTCGAGTGTTAGGAAGAATGTGGAGGGAAAGGCTCTCCTTAGACACTGTTGGTAGGAGTGAAAGTTGGCAGGCTTCTTTAGAAAGAAATTTAGCAGTATCATTTAAAACTTAAAATACGTCTACTCTTGTTTCGGCAGTTTCACATCTCAAAGAGAAATACGTACGTACACTTGGGCACGAAGATTCACATAGGAAGATTTTCATTACAGCCTTGCTTCCAATAGCATGGAACTAGAAATAAGCTAAACATCCATCAGTAGGAAACATATAAATAAGCCATGGTTTCCGAGTGGCACAAGTAGTTGTGCACAACAACGAGCCAAAAAGGGTGGAGGTTTGAACCTACCGAGTGGTTTGAATCAAGGGGCCCCACGGAAGCAAGGCTTGGCAATCTACGTCAAAAAAATTACAGTCAAGAGATGCCCATATTACGGATCAGGTCACTCTGCGTGGGAATCAATCGGGAAACAATGGATTTTTGTCTGTCTGCTTGTTGATGGGATATCTTGACTCAATGGCAACTCAATGCCATCCCCCTAGTCATAACATGTATGTACACATGCACACGTGTCAACGACTTGTTGTTAGTGAGAAATGCAAATTGTGGTGTGGTACATAACACAGTGATTTCTAATCCTGTCAGACAGAATGTCCCCTTTTATATTTCATTTCCCCCATGTATTTCCTAATTGCCTAGTTCCTGGGAGGAAATGCTACCCTTTCTGAGAACCACTGTTCTAGACTATTCCAGATTGTCCCGCGGTTTAATTAGGTGGAGGGCCCAGTTCTATCAGAGGAATCTTCAAACCAGCTCCCACCCCTATATTCTATCTCACGTCCCTGATTTCTCTTTGCGAAGGCTGGTCTTCACACACCCTTGTCACTCATCGGGCCCACATTTTTTGGATGCCAAGAGATTTGCCTACCATTGAAAGTGGCAAACTCTCAGAGACCCCGCTTCATTAGCTGTTGCCTCCATGGTCTTTCTGCCTTCGCCAGTTGCCGGACGTCAGGCACCTCCTTCATCATGATGGTCTGCCCTCTCTCAATGAGTCTTTGAGGCCTTCCCACCCTCCTCAGAATGCTTGATCCCTCGAACAACCATTGAATGATGTGGGACAGCGTTCCCATAAAGTTGTTGCCAAGTTTCAATAATGTGAACACAAGTCCACTTGAGTTTTGTTGAAAATTTGATACTAGCCCTTACCTCCAAATATCTCCCCACCACAAGGCACAAAACGTAGCCCCTTTTCTGAAGGGGCTCTAAGGAGACGAGGAACAGGTGTGTAGCTGAGAGAACGTCTCTGTGGCCGTCCACGGACTGCAGCTTAGGCACATTGTAGTCGGAATAAACTCATGCATGTTCCAACTGGAGCTCTAGTAGCAGTGGCTTTGTTTACTTATCCTCATGTTTGTAGAGCATAAATGGTGTGTGGTCACTGAAATTCCGTTCTATTATCTCTGCCATCAGCCAGTGCTGACAGATTGCACACACATCCACTCTCACCCACAAAGACATGCGAGTACTTTATATGTCGCTGCCACAGGGGCAGTCACTGCTGACAGTGGTTGGTGCATGTGGCTCACCTTTGATTAAGCATTCTTGTGGCTGATATCATTTCAGTTTGGATTCGAGTTCCAAAATAGTTTATTCCAGTTTCTCGTTCCAGTTCAATTGCTTTTTTTGAGGGCCTAAACTCTAACACTTCCTGCTCTACCATCTAGTGTGCCCGACCCCTCTCGTGGGGTCTAAAGAACTCTTCAGTAATAGTGATAATCAATGACAATGCATCGTATGTTTAATGTATTTTGAGTTGTTTCTGGGGTTTTCCTATAACAAACAGCCTTGTGAGTAACTTCTCTGTCTATAGAACTTTTTCTGAATTTTGGATTATTTCCTTAAAACCGACTAGGCTATTGATTAATGCTCTTTGTAACAATTAGGGAACCAAATGTTCCTGATCCTTTGGAAACAGCCCTTCCCTAGGAAATCCGGGGGATGTTCATGGATACTGTCTTTTTTTTGAATGGGGTTACTGGGTCAAATATATTTGGATAAGCCAGGTGTAATCGGTTCTTTATTTCAAGACTTCTTAGAGCCATGATGAACTTAATGAACTCCCTTAATTAATGAACTTCCTTAATTAATCTCTAAGAGGGAGATATTATCAAAATAGACATCTACTTTAACATTTATTTAACCACAGAAAAGTTTGTGTGCTTAATATAAATATGTTATATATATGATATATGCTATTCAGTATAACAAACTTGGAGGATCCCTGGTGGGGTAGTGGTTACAGGTTGGGCTGCGATCTGAGAGGCCGGCAATTCAAAGTCACCCACAGCTGCGAGGGAGAAAGCCCAGGTCCCCCCCACCCCACCCCCAACAGTGACAGGGTCAGAAATCACAGGGGCAGCCCTACTCTGCCCTCTAGGGCCACTGTGCATCAGTCTGGACCGGATGGTGTTTTGTTTGATGTCTCTGAAGTATGTGGTAGTCGTTAGGTGCCACCCAGTCAGTTCCCACCCATCAGGACCGGATGTGCAGCAGAAGAAAGCACGGCCCAGTCCTCCCCCTCCTCACTACTGTCCTGTTACCTTTGAGCCCATTGTTGCAGCCCCTGTGTCAGTCCATCTCGTCCAAGGCCTTGCCCTTCTTTGCTGCCCCTCCACTCTCTCGAGCATCACACCCTTCTCCAGGGACTAGTCTCTGTTGACCACATGTCCAAGGTGAAGCAAAGTCTCACCCTGCTTGCCTCTGCAGAGCATTCTGGCTGTACTCTCCTAAGACAGATTTGTTCGTTCTTGTGGTAGTCCAGGGTGCTTTGCATGATGATGATTATGTTTCAATCATTTTATTGGGAGCTCTCACAGGTATAATATGCCATAGTTCAATCACAACAAGCAGTATTGTAAATTTGCTACCACCATCAGTTTCCAAACATTTTCTTTCTTCCTGAACTCCTTGATATCAGCTCCCTTTTATCTCCGCCCTCCCCACCCTCCCCCCAGGAACGCTTATTCTTTTTTATTTTTCTATAATAGTTTTGGAGGTTTTTTTGCCATCTCTTACACAATCCATATACAAAGGGATATATTGGATTGTTTAAGATTGGACTTTCATTATTCTTTTCCAGAACCAGATTTCAGAACCAGAATTCCAATGCACTGATTATCCTTCAGTCTTCCTTATTCAATGGCCAATTATCATATGCTTCTGAGGCGATTGAAAATACCATGGCTTAGTGTGGGGCACTTTGCTTTTCACAGCGTTAAAAGGTCTTGTGCAACAGATTTACTGAATACCATGTGTCATTTGATCATTTGCTGCTTCCATGAACATTGATCATGGAGCCAAGCAAGACAGAATTCTCGACAACGCGACTCTTTTCTCCATTTATCATGATCTTACCCATTGGTTTGGTTGTGAGGATTAGAGTTTTCTCTCCAATGACTGTAATCCATAGTAACGGCTGCAATCCGTGATCTTCATCAGCACGTGCTTCAAGTCCCCCCAACTTTCAGCGAGCAAGGCTGTGTTGCATCAGGCATCTCACAGGTTGTCAGTAAATCTCCTCCAATCCTGATGCTGCATTTGTCTTCATATAATCCGGATTTTCTGATTATTTACTCAGCTACAGATGGATTAAGGGTGAGAGCATAAACCGTGCAGCATTGCTTGTTCTGTTCCCACAACTACCTCTTGATCCAGGTCTGGATTCCACATGAGCACACTGAAATGCTCTGCATTGATATGCTGTAGGGAAATTGCTTCCCGCTGTGGAGCAGACAGAAGCCCAGCAGAGGAACCTACTTCCCTACTACCTCTTT